TGCATGCACCTGTATGCATGCATCTTTATGCATCCACCTGCATGCATGCATGCACCTGTATGCACCCGTATGCACCTGTATGCATGCATGCACCTGTATGCACCTGTATGCATGCATGCATGCATGCTCCACATACACCTGAAGAGGTTTGCGACCTCTAACGCAAATTTTTGTTCTGAGATTTGAAGACGAAGATATCTTCGTCACAGCTGACTAGCGGCTTACTTGGCGAACTAATTAGCTAGCTAGCTAGCTAGCTAGCTAGCTAGCGGGCGAGCGAGCGAGCGAGATAGCTAGCAAGGGAGCGGGTTCATCTACTTAGTTAGCTAGCTAGCTAGCTAGTTAGCTAGCTGGGAGGGGGCCTGGCTCAACTAGTCGGCTAGCTAAATAGATAGATAGATAAATAGATAGGAGGAGACCTGGTTTATCTACCTAGCTAGCTAGCTAGCTGGATAGCTAGCTAGCTAGATAGCTAGCTAGCTAGCTAGATAAGAGGGGACCGGGACTGAGGGAAGGAGGGCGCTGAAGTAGCTGTTGCTGCTGTTGTTGCAGCAGCAACTTCTGCAGCAGCAACAGCAACAGCAGCAGCAACAGCAGCAGCAACAGCGTGTATTGCCTGAGGGTTTTTGCATATACTGGCGGGGTCTTAGGGTTTAGGGTTTACGAGTGGATGCATACATTCTTTTCGTTTGTCTAGTGCACCGCTGCAGAAGATATAAAGTTAAGGTGTGCGTACACCTGAGGCTTGTCTTATGATGTGTATAGAACGTGCGAGGGTTTAGGGTTTAGATTTTGTCTCTGTGCATCAGGGTTTAGGGTTCAGGGTTTAGGGTTTAACGTCGTGCAGCCCGGCCCTCCAGCGTAATTGCTACTGCTGCTGCTGCTGCTGCTGCTGCTGCTGCTGCTGCTGCTGCTGCTGCTGCTGCTGCTGCTGCTGCTATTGCTGCTGCTGAAACCACTGAAGCTCATAGTTTCGCGTTTTGTCTGTCTGCCTTCATCTGTGATAGGAAGAAGAGAACATTGAGTTGTCTGTACACCGTAAACCCTAAACCCTAAACCCTAAACCCTAAACCCTCGCGGTGGGGAGAGAACCTCCTTCCAGTCGGCAGCGGTAGGCGCTGCTGCATTTTAGAGCAGTTTAAATTTTGTTTGTTTTATTGTGTTGATAAAATATTCAATTGAAGGAAAATAGAGCAATAAAACCCAAACCCTAAACCCTAAACCCTAAACCCTAAACCCTAAACCCTTGGGCTGCGTAAGGCCCTGCTCGCCGAGCGGGCCTGTAGCAACGTCTGGGGTTTGAAGTGCTGCAGCAGCAGCAGGCGGCTATTTCTTCTTTTTAATTTTCTCATGTATTTAAAAAACAAGAAAAATAAGGTTTAGGGTTTAGGGTTTAGGGTTTAGGGTTTAGGGTTTAGGGTTTTCAAGTTGCAAAGCGGTGGTCCCGTCGAGTCGCGTTCGTGTCTGTCTCTGTGCCTGCCTTCGGCGAGGGTTTAGGGTTTAGGGTTTAGGGTTTAGGGTTTATGCTGGGCGCTAAGCCTCAAAGAGTTTAAACTAAACAATGTAGAGGCGAAGCAAACTGCTGTTTTTATGATGTCTCCTTACCTTCTTCATCTGGCGGCCGACTCCGCAGCAAGCGAGACCACTGGTGCGCAGCAGCAGCAGCAGCAGCAGCAGCAGCAGCAGCAGCGACAGCAACAGCAGAGTACTGTGTATCAAACAGTGCAGCAGCAACGTCACCAACAACAAATAGACAAACACCAGCAGCAGCAGCAGCAGCAGCAGCAGCATAAGTCGTCGTCGGCTCCCAATGGCCTCACTCAGCAGCAGCAGCAGCAGCAGCAGCAGCAGCAGCAAAAAGTGCAGCAGCAGCAAAGAGGACGAAGCCTGAGTCTCTTCCACCGCAGCTCGGGTGTATGGGCAGCTGCAGTATTTGCTGTTCTCAGCCTCGTTTGCTGCAGCAGCAGCAGCAGTGCCTCAGCCTCACCCACTCCCGCAGCAGCAGCAACAGCAGCAACAGCAGCAGCAGCAGCAGCAGCAAAAGCAGCAGCAGCAGCAGCAGCAGCAGCAGCAGCAGCAGGAGAGGAGCCCCATCGGCTGCGCTCAGTACGCAGACACGGTGCTGAGTTGCTGCTGCTGCAGCAAACAAACCCTAAAAATATACTTAAAAACCCTCAAACAAATCTTAAAAATTTGTCTTCTGCTGCTTTTCTGCACTTAAAGGCCAGCGACACCACTCAAGTACAAACAATATCCACAGGTAAACCCTAATAAACCCTAATAAACCCTAAACCCTAATAAACCCTAAACCCTAATAATCCCTAAACCCTAGTGCACCTACGATATCGACGGTGTCTCCCGCTGCAAAGGTGCTGCTCAGAAAGGTGAAATAACGAGGGTTTAGGGTTTAGGGTTTGTGGTTTAGGGTTTAGGGCTTACCATTCGTTGGCTTTAGGGTTTAGGGTTTGTGGTTTAGGGTTTAGATAACGAAGAGCCCCTTTACTAGGCACGCGTCGCAGTGCTATGGGAAGAATTAGGGTTTAGGGTTTAGGGTTTAGGGTTTTAGGGTTTAGGGTTTAGGGTTTAGGGTTTGTGTTTTGTGTTCGGGGTCTGCAGCCTTTGTGCCTCTGCTGCAGCACTTGCCGAGTCGCGCACAAGCAGCAGAAGCAGCAGGAGGTGCAGCTCCTCCAGCAGCAGCAGCAGCAGCAGCAGCAGCAGCATTATCTTTAGCTCTATCTCTCCCACTATGCAAAATAGAGTTTTCAGACTTGTCTCCTAAAGTAGGCGGAGGAACGTACGGTGAAGTGCTGCCTTTGAAGAGTGAGGGCCCCTGCAAGGAGGTTGCTGCTGCTGCTGCTGCTGCAGCAGCAACAGCAGGCGTAGCAGCAGAAACAGACATTAAATATGCTGTTAAAATATTTAGACTAAGAAATATTGTCTCTCTTCTTCAAGCAGCAGAAGAAAAACAAACAAATCTCAAGCCCCAAGATGCAGCGGCTTTAAAGACTGTCCTCACTGAACTTAAGTACGCATCTAGCTAGCTAGCTAGCTAGCTAGCCAGCTAGCTAGCTGGCTGCTTAGTGCTTAGTGTCTCCTTTTGTCTCATATTTGGGGTGTATATGCAGCTGCTGCATGCAAACTGTCTCCTTTTGTCTCATATTTGGGGTGTATGTTCAGCTATTGCATGCAAACTGTCTCCTTTTGTCTCATACTTGGGGTGTATGTGCAGCTGCTGCATGCAGACAGTCTCCTTTTGTCTGTGAATTGGGGTGTATGTATGTCTGTTCAGGTCTATAGACATAAAAGATGAGGCAACAGCAGCAGCACTAAAGGAAGTAGCAGGTGAAGACGGGTCTGCTGTGCTGCAGTCTCTGCAGCAGCAAAACTCTCTTTCTTTTGCTGATCTATCGAAGCACCTGACATTAATTCGCGCTGCTATTAACACAAACTGTTTCCTTCAAGAGATGCAGGAGACAGGTGCAATCTTTAGTCGCTTTGAACAAACCCTTAAACAATTCGATGCACACACCTGGAACCAAATCAAAGGTAAACCCTAAACCCTAAACCCTAAACCCTAACACTAAACCGTAAAACCCTGAACCTTAAAGCCTAACCCTAAACCCTAAACCCTAAACTTTAAAACTTAAACCTCTCTCTGTGTATCTACTCGTATAGTTAGCTAGCTCGCTAGCTAGCTAGCTATATGAATAGAGAGATAAGTAGCTATATAGGGGTTAATCTGTCTGAGGGTATATGTAAGGAGTATATGTTCAATGCGTATAGTTGTGCTGCTGCTTCTGTTACAGTTTTTGCTTTTGCTGCTGTTGTTGCTGCTATTGTGATATATCTGTATCTGCTGCTGCTTGTGCTGCTGCTGCTGCTGCTTGTGCTGCTGCAGACGCTCCTGCTGAGGAGAAGGTGTCTCTTTTTGCTGCTGTAGGGAGACAGCAGTTTCGCTGGTCGCTCCCTCTCGGCCGAATCCTCGCAAAAGACAAAGACGGACGCCTTCACTGGGGCCTCCTCATCAAACAATATGATGGAGACCTACAGGCAAGCATGCTCCTGCTGCTGCTGCTGCTGCTGTTCCTGCTCCTCCTGCTGCTGCTGTTTCTACTGTTGCTGCTGATGCGGCTGATGCTGTTTCTACTGCTGCTGCTGATGCGGCTGATGCTGCTGCTGTTGCTGATGCTGCTGATGCGGCTGATGCTGCTGCTGCTGCTGCTGTTTCTACTGCTGCTGCTGCTTCTACTGCTGATGCTGCTGCTGCTGCTGTTGCTGCTGCTGCTGTGCGTGTTTAATATATAAAGATAGTCTCTGTTGATATATTTGTTTATTTGTTAAATGAATAAAAACTGTCTCCTTTTAATTGTTTATTTATTTGTTTGATAAATAATAACTGTCTCCTTTTATTTGTTTATTTGTTTGTTTATAATATGCAGGCTTCGTTCTCTTCTGAGGCCTCAGCAAATGTCTCTTTGCTGCAGCGCTGGGGATCGGATCCCCGCAGCAAGCTGCTGCAGCATCTCTTCAGCAGCAGATTATCTTTGCTGTCTCTTTCAGCAAAAGTGCTGCAGCCTTTTGTTTATTTACATTCTTTCTTTAGCTTCGGACACTTCGATATTAAACCAGCCAATATACTCTACTCTAAAAATAAAAGGTGTGTTGCTGCTGCTGTTGCTGCTGCTGCTGCTGCTGCTACTGCTGTGGTTGTTGCTGCTGCTGTTGTTGTTGCTGTTGCTGCTGTTGTTCTGGTTGTTGCTGTTGCTGCTGCTGTTCTGGTTGTTGCTGTTGCTGCTGCTGTTCTGGTTGTTGCTGCTGCTGCTATTGTTGCTGTTGTTGTTGTTGCTGCTGCTGTTCTAGTAGTTGCTGCTATTTTTGCTGCTATATATATTTACTCACAAGCAAGCAAGCAAGCAAGCAAACAACTATATATATAAATACATATATACATATACATTTATATATATTTATATATATATTTATTTATTTATTTGTTTTGATGCTCAGAGTAGAAGTAGCAGCAGGAGACTTCGGTATGGCTGCACCCTTAGGGAAGCCCACATTGCTGAGAGGGACAGTAGCTTTTATGTCTCCGGAGATGGAGAGAGAAAAGGAGACAAAACCTGCTGCTGCTGCTGCTGCTGCTGGTGCTGGTGGCGGTGGTGGTGGTGGTGGTGCTGCTGCTGCAGCAGCACCAGCTGCTCCTTCTTCTTCTCGTTTGTTATCTGCAGCAGCACAAGATGTATTTGCGTTAGGTTTAACATTAGCTTATCTTTGGAGTGTACATGCATCTCAGCTAACTACTGTCTCCTTTCCTTGGGTCTCTAAATGCATTACACCTTATTTATCTCCAGGTGTCTCCTTTACTTTTGAGACGATGGCTAGCAGAACAGGGCCTCGCTTATACACCTCAGAGGTGAAGAGACACCTGAATGCATGCATGCAATTAGGGGGACGAATAGACAAACTCTATTTGTTCAGAATGCCTCTCTTATACAAAGTTATTATATCTCAAATGATATACACCGAGCCCAGTCTTCGCATTTCTATCAATAATGCTTTCGCTGTACTCGCCAGTACGTACACCCCAAACCCTAACCCTAAACCCTAACCCTAAACCCTAATCATAAACCCTAATCATAAACCCTAATCATAAATTCTAATCATAATCATAAACCCTAACCCTAAACCCTAATCATAAACCCTAATCATAAACATAAACCCTAACCCTAAACCCTAATCATAAACCCTAATCATAAACATAAACCCTAGCCCTAAACCCTAGTTATAAACCCTAATCATAAGCCCTAGTAAACCCTAGTAATAAAGCCTATTAAACCCTAATCATAAACCCTAGTAAACACTAATAATAATCCCTATTAAACCCTAATCATAAACCCTAACCCTAAACCCTAATGAACCCTAGTAATAAACCCTAATAAACCCTAATCATAAACCCTAATAAACCCTAATCATAAACCCTAATAATAAACCCTAATAAACCATAATAATAAACCCTAGTAAAGCACAATAAACAGCAGGATAAGTTGCCGGAGCAGCGTGTGCAGCAGCAGCAGCAGCAGCAGCAGCATTTGATGCTGGTGTGTCTCCCTCGTGTCTCTGCTGCAGCTGCTCGTGCTCTGGAAGCAGCGCGAGGAGAAGACATTGATGAAGGCAGCAGGCTGTTGGAGGAAGCAAAGGAGACAGTTTTGCTGCAGCTGTCTCTAGATCAAGCAGCCAGCCCACCTATTGATATGAACAGCAGCAAAAGGATTCTTCAAGCAACAAAAGTACTCAAGGCGCTGCAGGATATAGGTACACCCTTGCTGCTGCTGCTGCTGCTGTTGCTGCTGCTGCTGCTGCTGCTGCTGTTGCTGCTGTTGCTGTTGGTGCTGTTGCTGTTGCTGCTGTGGCAGCAACAGCAGCAATTGCAACTCGCCTCCCTCTCCACCTCCTGTGGCGACAAGTGCAGCAGCAGCAGCAGCAACAACAGCATCAGCATCAGCAGCAGCAGCAGCAAGAGCAGCAGCAAACCCACGAAGAGCAGCAAGAACAAATGCTTGTTTCTTCTTTCTTTTTTGCTGCAGCACTTCATGAACCAGTTAAGCAGGCTGTGGGATCGTCTGTGTCTCCGATCCCAGCGGAGACAGCACTGCAGCAGCAGTCGCTCCCAGAAGCAACTCCAGAGGAGACAGCAGCAGCAAAAGAGAAGCTGCAGCAGCTGCTGCAGTGGCGAAGCATGCAGCAGCATAAAGCCCTCCAAAATAAATCTTATGAAGACTTTATTGATCTCGTATTCGGGCTGTCTCTTCAAGGCCTAGAAGAGCTTATAAAGCAAGAGATTATACACAGAAAAAGTAAACCCTAAACCCTAAACCCTAAACCCTAAACCCTAATCGCTTGCGTGTAAACCCTAAACCCTAATAAAAAGCCAGTGGAGGGCCAGAAGCAGCCTTTGCAGCGCCTTCCGAGCGTTCCCAACCCTAAACCCTAAACCCTAAACCCTAAACCCTAAACCCTAAACCCTAGGGTTTGTCTATGGGTGTGTGTATATGCAGTGGAGGCTGCAAACATCGCCATAGCAAAAGCAGTTCAGGTGTATCTACATCAGGAGTACGAGCTCGAACCCTACATACAGTTAATTGAAGAGTCTCCAACAGCAGATGCAACAAACTTTATACTCAAGGGCCTCGGAGTCAATGAAGACAGAGCTGATGAAGCTGCTGTTTACTTTAGAGACAGGTGGCGTCTACTGTCTCCTTTTGTCTTGTTTCTTTTTGTTGCAGCTGTCTCTCTGTCTCTGTCTCTGTCTCCCTCTAGTGTTTGTCTCTGTCTCTGTCTCTCTCTCTCTCTCTCTGTCTCTGTTTCTCTTTTTCTCTGTCTCTCTCTGTCTCTGTCTCTCTCTGTCTCTGTATCCCTCTCTCTGTCTCTGTTTCTCTTTTTCTCTGTCTCTCTCTCTCTCTGTCTCTGTCTCTGTCTGTCTCTGTCTCTGTCTCTGTCTCTGTCTCTGTCTCTCTGTCTCTGTTTCTCTTTTTCTCTGTCTCTGTCTTACTCTCTGTCTCTCTCTCTCACTCTCTGTCTCTGTCTCTGTCTCTTTTTTTGTCTCTGTCTGTCTGGCGTTGTATGTTTCTGCATATGTTATATTAACTGTTGTATTGCTTGTTAGCGTTTGTTTATTATTGTTTCTGCATATTAATTAGTGTATATATATATATTTATTTATTTATTTGCTTCTGATGTCTCTGTTTTGCGTGTGTTTAGAGTTGCTGTCTCCTTCGTGTCTTGGGCAACAGCAGACAGACTGCTGCGACTGTCTTTGCGTTTTTGTGTCTCTTCGACCCCATCGGCACTGTCTATACACCTCAAATATACAGGAGGAGAGACAGTAAACAAGGATGAAAAACAATTATTATACAAGTGTATCTGGGAGCAGCTTAAAGTGCATACAGCAATAACATATTATAGTCTCCCTTGGGGTGTATCGGGAGCTGTCTCCTCGTTTGGAGACACCGAAGCTCAGGTGTCTGCGCACCTTCAAGAGAAGACAGTACCTGCTATTGTCAATGGCACATGTAAAACATCAAATATAAATCTTAACATAGCCTACACTTCTTTGTCTCTCTCTCTGTCTCTCTCTCTGTCTCTCTGTCTCTGTCTCTGTCTCTCTGTCTCTCTGTCTCTCTGTCTCTGCCTTTGTGTCTCTGTCTCTGTCTCTCTGTCTCTGTCTCTGTCTCTTTGTCTCTGTCTCCTTGCTGTCTCCATCTGTTTTTCTGTTCACTGCTTCTGCTTACAGCTCAGTCAGCTGCGCAGCAGCAGCACAACATTAGCAGCAGAAAGTTAGCAGCAGCAGCAGCAACAACTTAGCAGGATTGTCTCTGTGCGTGTGTGTGTGTGTTTGTGTGCTGCATACTGCTGTTGCTGCTGCTGTTGCTGTTGCTGCTGCTGCTGCTGTTGCTGCTGCTGTTGCTATTGCTGCTGCTGCAGGGACAGTAGAGAATGCGTTGAAGCTGCTGATGCTGCAGGTGCAGCGTGCGGTGTATCGGCTGCCCCCTGGGTCCCTCCCAGGGCATCAGGATCTGCGGGGTGTATATGCAGCTGTTATTACGGAGATGACTAAAGATAGATTTGTTGCTATACCGTTTACCCTCGCTGAAGAAAGAGAAGAATATACAAGAGCTATGTACGAACTGTCTCTGCTGCAGTTCAGAGAAGCTGTTGTCTTTGCTGCTACTAAAGCAGAAGTAAAACTTAAAGCGCAGCAAACACTCCAAGGCCTACAACCACAAGACAGTACGTCTCCTGCTGCTGCTGCTGCTGCTTGTGCTGCTGCTGCTGCTTGTGCTGCTGCTGCTGTTTGTGCTGCTGCTGCTGATTGTGCTGCTGCTGCTGATTGTGCTGCTGCTGCTGATTGTGCTGCTGCTGCTGATTGTGCTGCTGCTGCTGAGTGTGCTGCTGCTGCTGATTGTGCTTCTTCTGCTTCTGGTGCTGCTGCTTCTACTGCAGTTATTGCTGCTTCTGCTGCTGCTGCTGTAAATGCATGTGCTGGCGTACATTTGCTGCTGCTTCTGTCTCCTTGGCAGCTAATAGAGCAGCTTCTGCTGCTGCTTCTGCTGCTGTTGCCTCCTAAGCAGCTACTAGAGCTGTGTCTGTGTGCTTCTGCCTCCTAAGCAGCAAATAGGGCTGCTCCTATATGCTGCTGCTGCTGCTGTTGCTGCTGTCTCCTAGCCGTAACTCCACGCGAAAATAGTATTGTATATTTGTTTCTCTTTGTTTGCTTCATATATCTGCAACTACCTGAAGCAGCACACCCAAACCCCTATCATCATTATCATTATCATTATCTGCTGCTGCTGCTGCTGCTGCTGCTGCTGTTTAGGAGCTGCAGCAACAGTGGAGGGCCTGCGCGAGTTGCTGCCGCCTGCGTTGCTGTCTCCAAGGCGGTTTGCTGCTGATGCAGAGGCAGGAGAAGCAGCACTTAAACAAGTGCTGAGCGAAGTCTTAGAAAAAGACAAACAACCAAAGCGTGAGGCTCAGGTGTATACGCAGCAGCAGCAGCAGCAGCAGCAGCAGGAAGTGCATGCAGCGATGTTATAGAGACACCATTTGAATGGGTTCCTGCAGCAGCAAATATTTCTAGAGACAAACAGCAAAAATAGATATACATACACCCCAATCCAACTGTCTCTTTTCTGTCTTGTTGCTGCTGCCTCTGCTGCTGCTGCTGCTGCTGCTGTTGCTGCTGTTGCTGCTGCAGCAGAAGGCCTGGTGTCTGTGCAGGTGAGCGTCAATGGAGCCTTCTTTAGATCTCCAACGACAAACAAACAAAGAGGCAGACCAGCGTTCAAAGAGCTGCAGATACACCCCAGCACCACTGTGGGGCATATCAACAAACACTTCACCGAAGTACTCGCCAAAAGGTCAACTAAACCCTAAACCCTAAACCCTAAACCCTAAACCCTAAACCCTAAACTTCCAGTGCGTAGATGCTAATTTGCGACGGGCGTATATTTATATATTTATATATTTATATATTTATATAAATATATATATGTGTATGAATATATATTATTAACTTGTTTATTTACTAGTGTATATATATATATATATATGTATATATTGATATAAATACTCATATACATACATATTAATTTACATATACATTAATTTATATATACATAAACATATAAATATATATATATATATATACATATATAAATATATATATATATATATATATAATTTCTATAGTTTGTTTGTTTGCATGCATGCAGTGCGTTAGCCCCTGGCTGCATTCGCTATGGGGCTGCAATAAAGAAGAAGAACATCTCTGGGGATTACACCGCCTTAGGAGAAGAGCAATTGATGATAGACAATATTAAAGCGGATATTAAACTTAGGTTATTTGCAGTACCTCCACAAGAAGGAGAAAACGCTAGGACTCTCGTAAACCCTAAACCCTAAACCCTAAACCCTAAACACTCAAAAATACACATAAAACACTCATTGCACACTCGTTACCCTAAACCCTAAACCCTAAGCATAAAGCATCAGCACACTCGTAATCATAAACTCTAAACCCTAAACCCTAAGGAGAAATCGCTAGGACACATGTAATCCTAAACCCTAAACCCTAAACCCTCGTCTAGCCTGCACTAAGGTACAGCTGGGGGGGTAGTAAGACACACACAGAGACAACCAAAGAAGAGATGCCGCCTCTTTTCTAAACCAATTAGGGTTTAGGGTTTAGGGTTTAGGGTTTATAAATATTTCTTTTGCGTCTGTCTCTTAGAACAACTGCTTCCTCTGGACCCCCCAAATCCTCGAGCCCGGCCCCTACGTCGTACCACCCCCACCTCCGGACCAAGCTGCCCAGCTAGCTAGCTAGCTAGCTAGCTAGCTATCCTGGTTTTAATGCAGGTAGCTAGCCATAGATTTAGCCACGTCCACACACGCAGCTGGCTAGCCAGCTAGCCAGCTTCTTCTACAGCTAGCTAGCTAGCTAGCTAGCTAAGTTTTTATGCGGCTAGCTAGCTAGGTAGCTAGCCAGGATTTTAAGCAGCTAGCTAGCTAGCTAGCTAGGTAAAAGGGAACAGTATCAGAACAGAAGCGGCAGCAAGTACTGCTGCAGCAGCTTCGACGCATGCGTATACTGTCACACTCAATCGTTTAATTTGGAGCAGTCTCCTGCTGCAGCTGCTGCTGTTGCTGCTGCAGCAGCTGCTGTTGCTGCTGCAGCAGCTGCTGCTGCTCGTAGCGCTGCCGTTTATGCGCAGACGCCCGAAGTGTCTCCGCCACCAGTAAACCTGCAAAGACAATAAAAACCCTCAATTGTTGTTTTAAGGTGCATGCGCCCTTGCTGCTGTTCCCGTTGCTGCTGCTGCTGCTGCTGCTGCTGTTGCTGCTGCTGCTGCTGCTGCTGCTGCTGCTTACAAGTAAGTACGTGATGAAGAGACTGCATGCTGTAGGCAACGTTCGGGACAGTCGATCCCCGCGCCATCCACAGCGAAAGCCCCACAGACACCAGAGGAGCCACCAGCAGCGACAAGCCTACCTGCAGCAGCAGCAGCAGCAGCAGCAACAGCAGCAGCAGCACGGATAAGAATAGCACGCATTCAGGACTTTGGGCACAGCAGCAGCAGAAATGCAGCAAACACATATAATAATCCGCCTCTGCTGCAGCACCAGCAGCAGCAGCACAAGCAGCAGCAGCACCAGCAGCAGCACAAGCAGCAGCAGCAGCACAGGAGACAGAACTCACAAGCTTCGTGTAGGCGACACGCTGGTAGATGTCTCTCAAATTAAATGCCAGCAAAACCTGTAAACAGAGACAAACTGCAGCAGCAGCTGAAGCAGCAGCAGCAACTGCAGCAGCAGCAACAGCTGCAGCATCTACAGCAACAGTTACAGCAGCAGCAACAGCTGCACTAGCAGCAGCTACAGCTGCAGCATCTACACCAACGGCTACAGCAACAGCAATAGCTACAGCAGCAACAACACCTGCAACAGCAACAGCTACAGCAGCAGCAGCAACAGCAGCAGCAACAGCAGCAAGAAGTACATGGAGGAAGGCGAAGTCTGCGAGGGTTGGGCTCTGTTTGAAGATCAGCGCCAGCTGAGCAGCACGCAAACCCTAGACCCTAAAACACTAGGGTTTAGGGTTTAGGGTTTAGAGACGATGCCTCGGCTATCTAGGGTTTGAAGCCAAGGTCAGCCACCACCCTCTAGGGTTTAGGGTTTAGAAGAAAAGATTAAAAGCTACAGTAAGGATGAATCTTGAGGAGTTAAATGGGGTTTAGGGTTTAGGATTAGGGCTTAGGGTTTGGCGTTAGGGTTTAGGGTTTAGGGTTTAGGGTTTATACCGCCACAGCAGCTTGGAGATGCGCAAGAGGGTCGCCCGCGAAGCAGACAGCCACAGGGACCATCAGAACAAACCCTAATGCCTGAGCAAACCCTAAACCCTAAACCCTAAACCCTAAACCCTAGTCTTTGGACGTAGCCCGGTGCCGGGCTAGCGGCTGCCCCTCATCAGCGCAAACCCTAAACCCTAAACCCTAAACCCTAGTCGTTGGACGGAGCTCGGTGCTAGGCTAGCGGCTGCGCCTCACCAGCGCAAACCCTAAACCCTAAACCCTAAACCCTTATTTTACCTGGAAGGCAAAGACGAAGATAGAGCGATAACGCTCAAACACCTGGGTGCAGCAGGAGCAGCAGCAAGAATCAAAAGGGTTTAGGGTTTGGCGTGCATACAGGGGTTAGGGTTTAGGGTTTAGGGTTTAGGGTTTACCAGCGATAAGAGATAAAAGGAGACGCCTAAGCCAGGCTCTGGAGGCTGCAGCCGCCACTGAGAGGAGAAGGAAGCATTAAAGAAACCCTGAAAGACAAAACACAACTTGCTGCTGCTGCTGCTGCTGCTGCTGCCGCGGTTTTTGCTGCTGCCGCTGCTGCTGCTGCTGCTGCGATTGGTCGTTCTCTCGCTGCATTCCCTGCCTGTGCTGCAGCTCTCTATTCCTGCTGCTATACTCTCTCGCTGCTGCTATTGCTGCTGCTGCTGGTGCTGCTGCTGCTGCTGCTGCACTTACCCAATCCCAGTTTGCTTCAGCAGCAACAGCACAAAGGAGAAGAGCTGCAGCTGCTGCAGCGCCTAGCAGCAAGACGCAACCTCGCCCAACAGCAGCAGCAGCACTTGCTGCTGCTGCCTTGGCAGCTGCAACAACAAACCACAAACCCTAAACCCTAAACCCTAGTAATGGTCCACTACAGACTTGCAGCTAGCGAAGAGCTAGGGTTTAGGGTTTAGGGTTTAGGGTTTGAGGCGCACGCGGCAGAGGCTGGAGGCCGTCCTTCGCAACAGCAGCAACAGCAAATGCAACAGCAAGAAATTGCGGGGGCCCCAGCAGCAGCAGCAGCACGAAGCAGCAGCAGCAGCAGCACCGCAGCACCCAAGCCTGCAACTTAAGCCGGCGCTGCTGCTGCTGCTGCTGTTGCTGCTGCTGCTGCTGGATCGCTGCTGTGGGTTTGGTAGAACCCGCTGCTGTCTCTGCTGTCTCTGCTGCTGCTGCTGCTGCTGCTGTTCGTGAAGCAGCAGCAGCGGCAGAGGCAATCGTAAGCGAAAGAAGAAGCAGCTGCACACCGTGGAAGGACAGGCTTAGATTCCCTACAACCTGCAGCAGCAGCAGCAGCAGCAGCAACAGCAGCAGCAGCAACAGCAGCATATTCAAGGCAGAGCAGCAACATGAAAGTTCTGAGAGGCTACAGCAGCAGCAACAGCAACGAAGTCGAAGCAACCGCAACACAGACAGAAGCAGCAGCAGCAGAACAGCAGTAGCAGCAGCAGCAACAGCAGAACAGCAGCAGCAGCAGCAGCAACAGCAGCAACAGCAGCAGCAGCAGCACTGACAGTGTATGGGTGAAAGATGAAAAGAGCAGCAGCTAGCCAGGGACTCATAAAGCGCAAGGAAGCTACGCCCCCACATTCTCTACGGTACTGCTGCTGCTGCTGCTGCTGCTTCTGCTGCAGCTGCTGCTGGTTTTGCTGCTGCTGCTTGTGCAGCTGCTGTTGCTCCTGCTGTTTTAGCGGTAGCTGCTCCTGCTGCTGCTGCTCATCTGGCTGCTGAATCGAAGCTGCTGCTGCAGCAAGAGAAGCAGCAGTAGCCAGATCTACAAGCAGCAGCAGAAGAAATGATGTGCCTCTGCAGCTGCTGCTGCTGTTGCTGCTGCTGCTGCTGCAGCCTGTGATTGCCTTCAATAGCGAAAAAAAAGACGGAAGGTGGCTATACACCCCAGCAGCAAAAGGAGACAGACCCGCGGCTTCCCTTGCAATGCCTTCCTCCAAGCTGCTGCTGCTGCTGCTGCTGCTGCTGCACAGCAGCAGCAAGTTGCTAGGCAGCGATGGAGCGAAAAACAGCAGCACACGCAGCAGCGAAGCGACGGTAAACACAAGGACCATCCGAATCAGGTTCTTCCTGCTGCTGCTGCTACTGTTGTTGCTGCTGCTGCTGCTGCTGCTGCTGCAGCTGCTGCTGTTGCTGCTGAGGCACTCAGGGGGCCCCATGGTGTCTGGTTGCTGCTACAGCTGCCGCATGCTGTACGTTAGCAGCAAGTGAAATATCTGTTGCTGTTTGTTGTTGCTGCTGCGGCTAGATGCTAAGACATAAGCAGCAGCAGTAGCAGCAGCTGCTGGTGCTGCTGCTGCTGCTGTTGTTGTTACTGTAGCAGCAGCAGCTGCTGCTGTACAAAGTTGCTGCAACGCAGGGCCTGCCTTAAGGAGAAGCCTCAATAAATAATACTTTTGCTGCTGTTGTTGCTGCTGGAAACAGTGAAAGAAGCAACCAAATTGCTGCTGGGGCTGCTGCTGCTGCTCGGCTGCAGCCAATCGGCAGCAGCAGCAGCAGCAGCTACTGCTGCTGCTGCTCCTATCCAGCAGCAAATGCAGAGCCAGGTGTATTATTATTTGAATAGCAATCAGTTCCGTATTTAATAGACTCATTAAAAGATTGTCGCTGCTGCTGCTGCAGCAGCAGCAGCAGTTTAGCTGCCTTGGGGTGGTTACAGGTGGGGTTGTTGCTGCCAGCAGCAACAGCTGCTGCAGCTGCTACTGCTGCTACTGCTCCTGTTGCTGATGCGCGTGTAAAATAGCAAACTGCATCTGCTGAAGCCACTACTCAGGAGCAGCAGCAGCAATAGCTGCTGCTGCTGCCGTGCATACTGCCACAGGTTTTGCTGCTGTTGCATATACAGCAGCAGCTGCTGTTGTTGCTGCATATAGTGCAGCAGCAGCTGTCCTGGATACAATGCCACGCGCATGTGCTGCTTGGGGGCCGTTGCTGCTGCTGCATCAGCAACAGCAGCAGCAGCAGCAGCAGCAGCACGCCAGCAGGAGCGATCTGCTGCACCATACGCATGTTCAGCATAACCAGGAGGGAGACATAAAGCCTAATGAGACAGAACAGACGAGCAAGCAGCAGCAGCAGCAGCAGCAGCTCCAGCAGCAGCAGCAGCAGCAACAGCGGCATTTTGCCTTTAGCAGTGACTCATTCGTAAGCAGCAGCAGCAGCAGCTTTACACTACAGGAACAGCAGCAGCGGCAGCAGCAGCACCCTGAGGCGATTGCGCAGGTTGTACAGGCTGCAATAGGAGCATCAGCAGCAACAGAAGCAGCAACAGCAGCAGCAGCAGCAGCAGCTGCTGCTGCTGCGGCAGCTGGGGCAGAGCCAGTGAGCTGCTGCAGCAGAGCTAGTGACGCCTGCAGCGAGTGCAGCAGCAGCAATCGCAGCAGCCGCAGCAGCAGCAGCAGCACCATCAGCTGCCGCACTGTGGAGCACCTGCCTTGGGTAGGAGTTACAACGATTAAAGCCTATGCTTCCTACCGCATGCAGCAGCAGCAGCTGCTGCTGCTGCAGCAGCAGCCACAGCAGCAGCAACAGCAACAGCAGCAACAGCAGCAGCAGCAACAGCAGCAACAGCAGCAGGAGCAACAGCAGCAGGAGCAACAGCAGCAGCAGCAACAGCAGCAGCAACAACAGCAGGAGCAGCAGCAGCACCAACTTGACGGGTCCATAGACAGTCAGTCATCTGCCCCGACAGCAGCAGCAGCAAATGCAGCAACAGCAACAGCAGCAGCGGCAACAGGAGCAACATCAGCTGCAGCAGGAGGGTCTGTAGCCGCATTAACAGCAGCAACAGCCGAACCAAGAGCAGCAGCAGCAGCCGCAGCAGCAATGACATCAGAAGCATCGGCAGCAACAGCTCATCGAACAACAGCCGCAACAGCAGCAGCAACAACAATAGCAACAGCAGCAGCAGCAACAGCAGCAGCAGCAGCAGCAGCAACAGAGCTCCAGGCCCGGACTACACCGATAAGGAGCGCCTTTCATGCTCGCATTATCTGTGAGGAGACACTCAGCAGCAGCAGCAGCAGCTGCTGCAGCAAGAGATACGCAAGCAGCTGCAGCAGCTGCAGCAGCACAAGCAGCAGCCTACGCGAGGCGCTGAACTTCCGCATGCACGCCACGGTCTCGGCGGCGCAGCAGCAGCAGCAGCAGCAGCAAGAGCAGCAACGGGAGTGCAAGCAGCAACGCAAGCACCAGCAGCAACAGGAGCAGCAGCAACTACGAAAGCAACAGCGACAACAGGAGAAGCAGCAGCAGCAGCAGCAGCAGCAGCCTACTGGGAAAACAGACGGTAGCTTGCAGTGTATAGACAGCACCAAATGCACAGCAGCAGCACAGCAGCAGCTGCTGCTGCACTCCGCTGCAGCAGCAACCGCAGCAGCAGCAGCTGCTGCTGCTGAAGGTGCTTATGCAAGGGACTCCATCGGTAGCTGCTCTACTGCTGCAACAGGAGGGCTGCTGCTTCCGGCAGCAGCAGCAAGAAAAGCAGCAGCAGCAACATTTGCTGGTGCTGCTGCTGAATCCCCCTGCAGCGTCGGTGACTTAGTTCTCACCAGCAGCAACAACAGCTGCAGCAGCAACAGCTGCAGCAACAACAGCTGCAGCAACAACAGCTGCAGTAACGGCATGGAGACCCAATCGGCACCATCTGCTGCTGTAGTTCCTGCTGCAGTTCCTGCTGCTGTTGCTGCTGCTGCTGCTGCTGCTGTTGCAACCTCCCAAGCTCCCCTGTTTATCCGGCTGCGACGCGGACTCCCTGCTGCTGAGCTGCAGCAGCAGCAGCAGCAGCAGCAACAGCAGCAACGGCAGCAGCAAACTCTCGTAGCAGCTGCAGCAGACTCTCAACCAGCGACTGCTTCAGGGACCCCAGCTCGTGGCTGCCGCGAGCCTGCTGCTGCTGCTGCTGCTGCAGCACCAACAGCAGCAGCAGCAGACGCAGCAACTCCAGCAGACGCAGCAACTGCAGCAGCAGCAGCAGCAGAATCTGACAGCAGCATGCGTGAGGCAGAAGTCTCCTCGCTGCTTGAAGGGCCCCTTCCTCCACCAAAGCCCTCTCTCTGTCCTGCAGCAGCAGCAGCAGCAGCAGCAGCAACAGCAGCAAAGACAACAGCGGCAGCAGCAGCAACAGCAGCAGCAGCAGATATGCCCCTTTGCTTTAGCTTTTCAGGCCCAAGTGGTGCAGCAGCGGAAACAGCTGCCGCTGAAGCTGCAGCAACAGCTGCTGCCACAGCAGCAAAAAGCTTTCTTTGCTTCAGCTTCTCTGAGCAAGGGGCCTCGCATGCTGCAGCAGCAACAGCAGCAACAGCAACAGCAGCAGAAGCGGCACCAGCAGCAGCAGCAGTAGCGGCGGCAGCATTTACCGTGGGTCGTGCCTCTGTATACAACTCGGGGCAGCAGCAGCATGAGCAGCAGCAGCAAGATGAGTCGTTGCTGCACCAACTGCAACATCAGCAGCAGCAGCAGCCACAGCAGCAGCAAAAGGATTCACTGGAGTTCAACGCGAAGCAGCCGCGGTATCCCTCACAGCTGCAACAGCAGCAGCAGCAGCAACAGCAGCAGCGATGGGAGGAGCTGTTGCAGCAAGATCAGCAACAGGAACAGCAGCAGCAGCAGGAAGATGAAGCAGCACCTCCTCCACAGGTAGCTCCTCGCCCTCACGTGCTGTCTGTACAACCGCTGAGCAGCAGCAAGGTAGCAGCAGCAGCAACAACAGCAGCAGCAACAGCAGCAGCACAAGCAGCAGAAGCAGCAGCGGCAGCTTGTTTCAGCAGCCTCAACAGCAGCTACGACAGCACTAGTTCCGCTGGTTCTGCAGCAGCAGCAGCAACAGCAGCAGCAGCAACAGCAGCAGCAGCAGCAGCAGCAAATGAGGGGCCTGATAGGCTCCTAGATGCGCTGCTGCTGCCGCCGCGGCTGCTGCAGACGCGTTGGGGTGTACTGGCAGTTGCAGCAGAAGGAGACTTCTCTTTTACATTTACATGCAGAAAGGAGACGCCTGAGCTCTTTTCGTCTCTTCCTTGCTGCAGCAGCCACTGCCGCCCCTGCAGCAGCAGCAGCAGCAGCAGCAGCAGCAGCAGCAGCGCTTGCGGCAACAGCAACTGCACTTGGGATCCGAACCACTGCTGCTGCTGCTCTGCTGCTGCAGCAGCAAAAGAAGCAGCAGAAGCAACAAAAAGCTCCAGCAGCGACAGCAGCGACAACGGCAAGCATGGCGCTGTCTCCTCAGCAGCAACAGCAACAGCAACAGCAGCAGCAGCAGCAGCAACAACAGCAGCAGCAGCTCGGGGTGTACGAACAGCTACATTTGTTGTGGAGTTGGGCGGCGCTTTCGTTCGCATTGAAGACCAGACAACAAATACTATTTTAAGGAGGCTGCATGCAAGGTACTTCTGCTGCTGCTGCTGCTGCTGCTGCTGCTGCTGCTGCTGCTGTTGCCGTTAGTGTTGCTGCTGCTGCTGCTGCTGCTGCTGCTGTTTCTTCCGGTTAGCTGCCTGCCTGCTGTGCTGATTTTGCTGCTTCCGCTGTTGTTGCTATGCTGCTGCTCCCCCACCAACATTAACATCAACAGCTGCTGTTGCTGCTGCTGCTGCTGCTGCTGCTGCTGCTGCTGCTTAGGTGTCTCTCCAGCCGCAATCGGCTCCGCTATATGTACGCAGTGCGGGTAGCAGAGACGATGAAGCAATATTCCTCAGTTGCTGTTCTTAGAAAACCAAATGTACGTGCATACACCCCAACTGCTGCTGCTGCTGCTGCTGCTGCTGCTCGTGCTGCAGCAACAGCAGCACGAGTGCCGATCCGCAGCATTAGTGAAGAAGGATACGAACAGCAGCACGTGCTGTAGTGGCTCTGCTGCAGCACATATATCCAGCAGCAGCAGTCACAGCAGCATTCACAATAGCATCAACAGCAGCCAAAGCAGCACCAGGTGCAACAGCAGCAGCAGCAGCAGCAGCAGCAGATGTTTGTGTTTGTGTGTCGATGTGCAGATAGGCGTCTTTCGCTTAATGGCGGACGGCTCCTTCCGTGCTTCATTCTGCATGCATGCACAGCCCCAAATTGCTGCGCTGCTGCTGCAGCAGCAGGTTGCTGTTGTGCTGCTCAGAGGAGGAGATGTGCTGCAGCTGCTGCAGCAGGACCTGGAGACATTTGCTGCTGCTGCTGCTGTTGAAGACGTCGCAGACTGGTGGACCCCTCTGCTGCACAAACGCAGGAGCAGCAGCAGAGATGCTGCTGCTGCTGCGATAGGGTCGGCAGCAACAACGCGTGCAGCATCAGCAGCAGCAGCAGCAGCAACAGGCGACAACACGCCCTCTACTTGCGCAGGAGACTCCGCTCTTGTTGCTGCATCGTCAACAGCAGCAGCAGCAGCAAGAGAACCCGCCAGCACGGAAGCAGCAGCAGCAACACAAGCGGTGCTTGCTGCGCTGCTGCATGCACAGCTGCCAGCAGCAACGCTGCTGCAGGTTTGGGCGGAGTGTGTGCGCTGCTACAAGCGCTGCAGCGACTTGCACAGTGCAGCAGCAGCAGCAGCAACTGAGGAGCAGCAGCAGCAGCTGCAGCAGCTGCTGCAGGACAGCGAAACCCACAACCTGCTGCAGCAGCACTCAAACACACATGCGAAGCCCCATCTGCTGCTGCAGCGGCAGTTGCTGCTGCTGCAGAGACAGTCTTTGCTGCGGCGTCTCCCTGCTGAAGCAGTAGACACAGAGGAGCCCCTAAGCTAATGCTTCTGCTGCTGCAGCAGCTTCTCCTGCTGCAGATGCTGCTGCAGCTGGTGAACATTTCTGGCTGCATATGTGAGCAGCAACAGCAGGCTTCGTGCCAATTTTTTAAGGACCCGCATCTGTTGGTGCTGCTGCTGCAGCAGCAGCAACAGCAGCAAAAGTCTCTCTTATTTAAACCAGAAGGTTCAGCCCTAAAGACATGCTGTCAAAGCAGCAGCAGCAACACAGTGCTGCTGCTGCTGTTCCTGCTGCTGCAGCAGCAGCAAGAAGCAACACCGTGCTACTGCTGATCTTGCTGCTGCAGCTACAGAAGCAACAAGCAGCAACACCCTGCTACTGCTGCTGTTCTTGCTGCTGCAACTACCGCAGCAACAAGCAGCACCACCCCAACACCCTGCTGCTGCAGTTATTGCTGCTGCAGCAGCAGCAACAGCAGCAGCAGCAGCTACGCGTAGAGGTACACTGCTTTGTCGAGCCCCACAACTGCCAGCAGCCGCAGCGAGCTGTGTGCTGCAACGCCTTTGATTTGCTGCAGGGGCCCCCGCAGCACAGCAGCAGCAGCAGCAGGCAACACTGCAGCAGGTTCCCCTGCAGTGCCGCTTGCTGCTGCTGCTGCTGCTGCTTCTGGCAGCGCGTACACCATCACTTCAGCCCCTCCGATCTACGCAGCAGCACAAACCCCACAAACAATGAACAGCTAGCTAGCTAGCCACCTAGTTAGCTAGCTAGCTAGCTAGCTTGCTAGCTAGTTAGCTAGCTAGCTAGCTAGCTTGCTAGCTAGCTGCTGCTCTACTCCCCCCGCAGCAAAGTGCAGCAAACGAGTAAAAGGGACGCCTATACCATCACCAGCAGCAAAAGCAACAGCAGAAACAGCAACAGCAACAGCAACAGCAGCATCAACACCATTAACAGCAGCAGCAGCAACAGCATCAGCAACAGTAGGAGCAGCAGCAGCAGCAGCAGCAGGTTACTCTCTGTGTCGAGGCGTAGAGGTAGCGGCCCTCTGGGCTGAGCGCTAAGCAGGGAGTGGAGTAGCAGTCAACGTCAGGCACGTGCAGCCGCAGCAGCTGCAGCAGCAGCAAAACCAGAAGCAGCAGCAGCAGCAGCAGCAGCAGGTCCACACACAAAACGCCCACAGAGCCAGCAACAGCAGCAACAGCAGCAACAGCAACAGCTGCAAAAACACCACCAGATCTACGTGGATACCAACCGCAGCAGCAGCAGCAACAGCAGCAGCAGCAACAGCAGCAGCAGCAGCAGCAGCAGCAGCACCTGTCTTTGCGTGTGCAAGGAGAAGACAACAATGAGGCCAGTGCTGAGCGAAGCAAACAGCAAACCCTTTTTTGCATCGCAAATCATCCGCAGCACAGACACCCCACACTTGTCCTGCAGCAGCAACTCCCACTGCTGCTGCTGCTGCTGCTGCTGCTGTTGCTGCTGCTGCTGCTGCTGCTGCTTGTGCGCAAGGGCCCCTAAGTCTTCAAGAAAGAAAACCTCAGCAGATCGCCGCAGCTCCACAACATCAAAGGAAGCAATTACAGGGCATTCATGCAAAGCGATAGCTACCCTGCTGCTGCTGCTGCTGCTGCTGCTGTTGCTGCTGCTGCTGCTGCTGCTGCAGTCGGGGAAGAAGCAGAGGCTGCTGCAGACGCTGCTCGGGAACAAATGATGAAAAATTAAGTCAAATATATCCGCTGCACCATCGCGCTGCGCATACACCTGAAATGCAGCACAAGCAGCAACACATACACCCCACACTGCTGCTGCTGCTGCTGTTGCTGCTGCTGCTGCTGTTGCTGCTGCTGCTGCTGCTGCTCTTGGTGCGGCTCCAGTGCTTCTTGCTGCAGCGCTTGTTGCTGCAGCAACAACATCGCTGTTTCTGCTGCTGCTGCTGCTGCTTCTCAGCCGCAGATACGACCTGCTGCCAACGCAAGCGTGAATGCCTTCCTAAACCCTAAACCCTAAACCCTAAACCCTAAACCCTCACAGCAAAGGATCCATCTCGTGAGACGCTGGCGAGTCTGTCTCCTCCAGGAGAAAATTCGCAGCAAACCACCGCCTTGGTGTGGGGCTTAAGCTGCTGCAGCACGCAGCCTGCTGCTGCTGCAGCTGCTGCAGCAGGAGCTGTGCTTGCTGCTGCTGCTGCTCCTGATGCTGTGCTTGCTGCTGTTGCTGCTGTTGGCTGCATGCAGATCGCAAAAACAATCATAAGCCACCGCCCACTCTACAAGCAAGACTAGGGTTTAGGGTTTAGGGTTTAGGGTTTAGGGTTTAGGGTTTGAAGCTTACCAGCTGCAGCAAACACAAACTTCCATCGAGCAGCCCCACAGCCAAGCCCGGCCCCAAGCTGCTGCTGCTGTTGCTGCTGCTGCTGCTGCTGCTGCGCACCGCCATTGCTATCACCGGCGACGAGAGGCTTCCCCATTCGCATACAACCTCACAAGAAGCCACCTTGCTGCTGCTGCTGCTGCTGCTGCTGCTGCTGCTGCTGCTGAGGGGCGGTATACACCTCAGCCGTAGGAGACGCACAGCTTTGTCTGCAGTTCCGATAGCAAGCAGCACCTCGCTGCTGCTGCTGCTGCTGCTGCTGCTGCTGCTGCTGCCGTTGCTGATGCTGCTGCTGCTGCTGGGGATGTCTATGAAGCTGCAGCAAAGAATATTATGCTTCTGCACGTACACGGCGCTCCGCAGCGCATCGTTCCTGCTGCTGCTGCTGCTGCTGCTATCAGCAGCAGCAGCAGGAGCAGCAGCAAGGCAGAGAGGCTGAGAGCAGCAACTGCGGGAGGCGCGCTCGTCAAGACTTCCCCAGGCTGCAGCAACAGCAGCAGAAACTGCTGGATTTGCTGCTGCCTGCCGTTGCTGATGCTGATGTTGTTGCTGTTGCTGTTGCTGTTGCTGCTGCTGTTGCAGCTTCGCGATTGGCGGCAGCAGCTCGCCGGCCTGCAGCAAATCTGGAGCTGCTGCTGCTGCAGCAGCGGCAAGTTTCTCGCAGCTGCTGCTGCTGCTGCTGCTGCTGCTGCGGAGGGCTATTGATTGCTGCTGTAGAGCGCGCATTGCAGCAGCAAGGACAGGCTGACCCTGCAGCAGCTGCTGCAGCAGCCTCTCCTCTTGCTCTTCATCTTCCTCCTCTTGCTGCTGCTGCTGCTGCTGCTGCGGCAGCCACGTGTGTGTGAACTGAAAGAATTCGGGTATATAGGAGACTGCTGCTTCTGCCTCAACAGCAGCAGCAGCAGCAAACAAACCTATGCTGTGCAGATACTGCAGCACAGCTTGGAGGCAGCAGTGATGCTCGTCAATACGAGAACTATCCATTCCCCTTGCTGCTGCTGCTGCTGCTGCTGCTGCTGTTGCTGCTGCTGCTGCTGATGATGATGATGGGTTGCTGCTCGTCATCGCTGGCGAAGACGGCAACTCTCCGAAGCTGCTGCTGCTGCTGTTGCTGCTGCTGCGCCTCTGCTGCTGCTTCAGCTCGCTGCAGCAGCTCAAACCTGTCCGTAGGAAGTTCTCCATTCGCTGCAGCAGGGCCGGCTACAGCAGCCTAGCCTTTGCTGCTGCTGCTGCTGCTGCTGCTGCTGCAGTTGCTGCTGCTGCTGCTGTTGCTGCTACTGTTGCTGCTGCTGCTGACGAAATGGCTTTACTGTTGTAAGCAAAATCAAATGCTGCTTCTTCTTCTGCTTCAATGGAGGAGCAGATCGGCTGTCTTCCTAATTATCGCTGCTGTTGCTGCTGCTGCTGCTGTTGCTGCTGCTGCTGCTGCTGTCGTTGCTGTTGCTGCTGCTGCTGCTGTTGCTGCTGGGTGTGTGTACAGCTGAGTAGATATTGAAGTTCAGCAGCAAATAAACATCAAACAGCAACAAAGAAGAATTAAATACAACTCATCTCAAGACAACAGACAGCAGCAGCAGCAGCAGCAGCGTCGCCGTCGTCGATGAGGCAGCAGCAAATTTGCTGCAGCAGCAGCAGCAGCTGCTGCTGCTGCTGCTGCTGCTGGGCCCCATTGCACTGCCAGCAGCAGCACTCAGCTATAGAGGAGGGCTTGCCTTCCTTCTGTCTTTTTATATATTTTAGCTGTAGTTAACTAATAAACAAAGCGAAAGAAATTGTGCAGCTCTAGCACTTGTGAAGCGTCTGCTGCCGCAGCAGCAGTAGCAGCAGCAGCAGCAGCAGCGGCAGGAGCAGCAACGGCAGCAGCAGCAACAGCAACAACAGAAGCAGCAACAGCAAAGAGTGGCGCAGGTTCAGTTCTGCTGCAGCAGCAGCAAGAGCAGCGGGCTTGTGGGGTGGCAGCAGCAGCAACTCAGCTGCTGCCTGCTCCTGCTGCAGCAGCATGGGGCCCCCAAGTATTGCTGCTGCAGCTGCTGCAGCTGGTCGGAGGTTTGCAGGGTATGCTGCTTCTCCTCTGGTAGCGGCTGCTGCCGATGCAGCAATTGTGAATGTCGAAGCAGCAGCAGCAGCAGCTCCGGCTGCAGCTGCTGCAGCTGTTGCTGCTGCTGCTCCCCCCTCCCGCTCCAGGCACTTTGCCTCTGCAGCAGCCTGCATGCAACACCCAACAGCAGCAGCAGCAGCTGCTGCTGCTGCTGCAAGGCGACGTGTGCTACTCCCCTCGAACAGCAGCAACAAATTAAACCCTGACTCCAGCAGCAGCAGCAGTAGCAGCAGCAGCACCAGCAGCAGATCCAACCCTGCTGCTCGCTATGAGCTGTGGCGTGCCCATAGCCAAGCAAACAGAAGCAGCAGCAGCAGCAGCAGCATGAGTCGCTTTGTATACTCTTCTCTCTCTCTTCGCCCCACGAGTCTGCAGCGCCAGCTGATGGCTCTGCAGCAGCAGCTGCAGCAGCAGCAACAGCAGCAGCAGCAACAGAAGCGGTTTGCTTCTTTTGCATCGGGGCCGTTGCCTGGGCCTTCGTTTTCTATCTCTGATTTCAGCAGACCTTTTGCTGCTGCAGATGGTTTCCTGCAGCAGCAGCAGCAGCAGCAGGTGCGTGCGTCTGCAGCAGCAGGGACGCCGGGATCGGTTCAGGAGGAGGAGCTGCAGCAGCTGCTGCAAGCACACAAGAGGAGTCCAGGAGATGTGCTGCTGCTGCAGCGTCTTGCAATGGGGCTAATAGCAGCAGGAAGAGCCTCAGAAGCTGTCTCTATTGTTGCTGCTGCTGCTGCTGCTGTGCGCGTCCCTGATGAGTTGATGCTGCAGTGTCTCCAAGCAGCAGCAGCAGGCTCGTCTGGTAGCCGCAGCAGCAACAGCGAGCTGCAGCAGCTGCTGCAGTCGTTGCTGCAGCAGCGCAAGCAGGGAACAGATGATAGTATTGTAGCAGCAGCAGCAGCTGCTGCTGCTGCTGCTGTGACTGCAGCAGCACGGGTGTCTTCCCCTCCCCACACCTCCGCCGTCGTGGGGGCCCTGCCGCAGCAGCAGCAGCAACAGCAGCAACAGCAGCAGCAGCAGCAGCAGCAAGGAGCTTATCGTTTTTTAGTTGGGGCGTGGAGCCTGGTCAAGGGCATTATGTACGTTGAATTGTAAACCCTAAACCCTAAACCCTAAACCCTAATTTCCGATACCCGTTTCTTGTGTATGTTAGACCTGGCGCTGAAAAGACTTAGGGTTTAGGGTTTAGGGTTTAGGGTTTAGGGTTTGTGTGCAGCCAGGGTTGCTACCGTTTGCTGCTGTCTCCTTTCGTGGGAGTCTTGCTGCTGGTCGGCTGTCTCTCTGAGCTGCTGCGGCTGATATCTGCTACTCTAAGAGGCGAAGGTGTTGGTGCTGCAGCAGCTGGCAGCAGCAAATGGATAGAAGACAGAGTTGTCTCCCCTGAAGATATCAAAGACTCCTTCGACAGCGTCAAGGTACAGGGTTTAGGGTTTATTAGGGTTTATAAGAGTTTATTAGGGTTTATTAGGGTTTAGTAGGGTTTATTAGGGTTTATCAGAGTTTATTAGGCTTTAGTAGGGTTGAGGGTTTATTAGGGTTTATTAGGGCTTAGGGTTTAAGCAAAGGGATTTCTGAGGATTTAGGGTTTATTAGAGTTTATTAGGGTTCAGGGTTTATTAGAGTTTATTAGGGTTTATTAGGGTTTAGGGTTTATTAGGGTTTAGAGTTAGCTAGGGTTAATTAGGGTTTAGCGCACACCGCTGAGGGTTTTGTTTACAGGAGTACTGCACAGTTTGAAGCAGTGTGAATGCACAAGGGTATAGGGTTCATTAGGGTTAATTAGGGTTAATTAGGGTTAATTAGGGCTAATTAGGGTTTAGGGTTTAGGGTTTAGGGTTTGGGGTGTACAGGGTTATGAGGAGGTGAAGCGGGAGGTTCGCGAGATAATTGAATATTTAAAAAGCCCCGAAAAATTTCAAGCAATCGGCGCCAAACTCCCCAAAGGCATTCTCCTACACGGGCCCCCAGGCAAGGGTTTAGGGTTTAGGGTTTAGGGTTTAGGGTTTAGGGTTAATGGGAGTTTAGGGTTTAGGGTTTAGGCTTAATTGGGGTTTAGGGTTTAGGGTTAAGTGCTTCTGGATTGGTGTTCGTATTGTCGGTGTGCAGCTGAGTTTGGAAGACGGGGTTTGTAGGGGTTTAGGGTTTAGGGGGTTTAGGGGGTTTAGGGTTTAGGGTTTAGGGTTTAGGGTTTAGGGTTTTGCCCTTTTGAATGGGGGTGACGCTGTTTCTTCCTGGTCGAGTTTTAGGTGTACACTTTCGTATTAGTGTTTGGGGTTAATTAGGGTTAATTAGGGTTAATTAGGGTTAATGAGGGTTTAGGGTTTAGGGTTTAGGGTTTGTGGTTAGGGACTGGGAAGACTCTGCTTGCTCGCGCAATAGCTGGGGAGGCGGGGGTCCCGTTTTTGCATGCGTCGGGATCAGACTTCGAGGAAATGTTTGTTGGAGTTGGTTAGCTGCTGCTGCTCTTGCTGCTGCTCTTGCTGCTGCTGCTGCTGCTGCTGCTCGTGCTGGTGCTTCTACTGCTGCTCGTGCTGCTGCTGCTGCTGCTTCTGCTGCTGCTCGTGCTGCTCCTGCTGCTGCTGGGGATGCTGCAGCTGCTCATGCAACTGGGGATGCTGCAGCTGCTGCTCGTGATTCTGCTGCTGCTGCTCATGCTACTGTTGCTGCTGCTCGTGCTGCTGTTGCTGCCTCCGTATGTGTTGCTGCAGTAGGTGTTGCTGCTGCTATATTAGGTTTAGATTTTCTTTGTTTTTTTTTAGTTTTGTTTATTTCTATCTCTGCTTTATCCACCGCCGTCCCCTCCACATCAACAACAACAACTACTGCTGCTGTTGCTGCTGCTGCTGCTGCTGTTTGCATGCAGGTGCAAGCCGCATTAGGAGTCTCTTTGCTGCAGCACGAGCGAAGGGGAGGTGTCTCCTCTTCATTGACGAAGTTGATGCTGTTGCAGGCAACCGAAAGTTGGAT